CAGCTTGGGCCAGTGAAGCGACATCCTCCACAACTAGACTGAAGAACAAAACAACAGCAACTTGTCTGTTCCCCTTCCCCCGATTCCCCAATAAACTTTAAAAAAAAAAAAAAAAAGATAGAATATCCCAATTCACGAACACAGTTGTCTTTACTCTTATTTAGGTCTTCTTTAATGTCGTTAAAGCAGTGTTTTGTAGTTTTCAGCATTTCTGCTGAAACTTCTGTATTTCTATTACATTTATTCCTAAGTATTTTATTCTTTTTTTTTAAGATTTTGGGGAATTGGGGAAGGTGAACAACCAAGTTGTTGTCCTTCAATCTTAGTTGTGGAGGGCACAGCTAGCTCAGCTCCAAGTCCAGTCATCATCTGGCCGCCCGTCGGCACCTTGTGGCCACTCAGCTCAAGCTGCCGTGTTCAATCTTAGTTGCTGGTGGGCGAAGCCCAAGATCCCATGCTGGAGTCGAACTGGCAACCTTGTTGTTAGGAGCATGTGCTCTCACCAGCTGAGCCATCCTGCCACCTATTGGCAGGTCAGCTCAGGCTTAGCTCACTGGCCCGTGTGGGAATTGAACCCGCGACCCTGTTGCTAGGAGCTTGCACTCTTAACCAACTAAGCCACTTGGCAGGCTCTATTTTATTCTTTTGATGGTATTGTAAATGGAATTGTTAATTTCATTTTTGGGTTGTTCATTGCTAGTGTATAGAAATACATATAATTTTTGTGTGATCTTGTACCTTGCAACTTTGCTGAATTTAATAGCTCTGATAGTTTGGTTGATTCTTTAGGATTTCCCATATATCAGATCATGTCATCTGTGAATAGAAATTGTTTTATTTCTTCCTTTCCTATATGGATGCCTTTTATATTTGATTGCTTTGGCTAAAACTTCTAGTACAATGTAACATTCTTGTAACATTTCTTTTTAAAGTTATTTATATTCTCAGTAATTCTCCTAATTTTGAATTTGATTTAAGTTTATGTGGAAGACCATTTGTCTAGGTTCCTGCAAATACTCTTAATTCCAGCCAATCCATTTAAGCTGGATTCTTTGAATAAAGAACATGAAGTATATGAAATCTCCTTTGGGGAACTAAATTTAGGAGACACAGGTCAACAAATTGGGTATTTAGTGCCTGCAAGGCCCAGGCATTGTGGGTGTCATGTCTTTGACCACTAACCTGCCCAAAGATACCCACTCAGGACAAATCCTCAACTTGCCCCATGGGAAATGCCTGGGGATTTTAGCTTCTCGGATGCTTTGGTAACAGTTCTCTAAATAGGAGTGAAGACAGCTCACAAATACATCACAAATTTCTCTTATTTGCTACCATGAAATTCTCTCCAAAAGAATTCCTCTTTAGAGATAACCCCCAGGGACCAATGACTAACTTGAGGGTGACAAAATGTTACCCTACTACAATGGCTCCCGTAAGGAAAACTAGCCTTCTTAGAGAGAGAGACATAAGTCCCTAATTCCTTCCCATTGGTGGATAGTGAACACAACAATACTAATTGTCTCAAATGAACTAAGACCACAACAATTTTCCCCAGTGTTTGAAATACAGTTTGTTTAGCTCAGCAATGGCAAAACCAGAGGAAGCTAAAGGAATATTCTGGGAAAAGGAAGAACTTGCTTACCACTATTCATCAACCCATAATAAGGCTGAGATATGTCTTCCCTAGGGAATGGGGATAGTTGGTCCCAGGATGTATCAGTTATCTATTGCTGCTTAACAAATTACTCCAAAAGTTAGTGCCTTAAAATAAAAACATTTATTATTTCACAATTAAGGTGTGGCTTAGCTGGGTCCTTAGTTGGAATTATAATGCTGTAATCAAAGTGTTGGCCAAGGCTGTGATCTCATCTGAAGCCATGGCTATGGAAGGATCTACTTTCAATGTTGTTCATGTGGTTGTTGGCAGAACTTAAGTTCCTTGCAGCTGATGGACTGAGGGCTTTAGCTCCGTGCCGGCTATTCACCAGAAGCCACCTTCAGTTCCTTGTCATATGGGTCT